GAGAAGCCAAATATTTTAGAGTTTTTTCCATCATCAGCTGAAGAAAGTGAGGATGAAGAAAAAGCTGAAGATATTTTAGAGTCAAATGTTTTTTTAAATATTAGCAGCAGTTCAGAAAAATGGTATCTCCCTTCAAACCAAACTGTAGATGAAATTTTTTCAACAAATGTCTCTAGTCACATAGAAGTGACAAAAAATAAAAAGAAATTAACACCTGTGGATAAAGCTATATTAAGATATGGTGCTTCCAAGTTGATAGATCTCTCATCTAAAATGAATGGTTGGTTTACATTAGATCAAATGAATTTCATGATAAATGATCACAAAAAATTAATAATTCTTCCGGATTTACCTGAAGAAATTAATATATTTATATGTAATATTGAAAAGGTGGATATATTTTTAAAAGATTTCTTTCATGCTATTATTATTAACCTTTATTGATATATTTTTTTGTTGAAATAAAGATGGTGAGGAAAGGTGAAACAGCCAAGTCTTATAAATATTGTATTGAATAACATTCAAAATCTGAATTAGGCAGCAATTTATATTTAATAAGCAAAATTTATTTGGACTTGTAAGTGAATGTGTTTTTAATATAACATAGCTAGTTTGGTAAACTTTGGCTTATTTTATTATATGCAGTTTGTATGAAACATTAGATGGTTCAGATATGCTTGGGAGAGATTACACAGAATGTGATATAATCATAAAATCGGTTTGCTATATAATAAAGATATTAAATAAAAAGTTTGGAATTTCTCAAAAATGGTAAGTTAGATGTAATCTTTCTGATTTTTGTGGTTTAAATTTTAATGCTTCTTAAATTGTTATATTTTACCTGCACAAGGGGTGAATCTTTTTGTTCGTTAAGCAAGTCAACAAATCACACTAGAGGGCGAAGATGTGATGTTAGATTTTTGTCTTCATCTGGTATAGATCTGGGGGGAATGGGAGTTTGCTGTGAAAACTACACCAGATAAAGTTATTAAAGATTGTTGTCATTCATCAATAATAAATCAATCAATTATGAATGGATTGCTTCGTCTTAATTTAACAAATGAACAAGCAAGTCAAATAAAAATTCCTTTTGTACAAATTGCTGGAACCAATGTTCAGATGCTATTAGAAGTGTTGCTCAATGGATTTTATTTAATGGTGCCTAGTCCAAAATTTCAGATCCCAACTAAAATAGATCAAATAGTCAAGTTAAGGCAAACTGTAAGGATTGTTCAACATGTTATGGTAAGAATCATTATTTTTTATTACCTTTTTTTTGTCATCAAGAATATCCCAATTCAACTATTTGCACAGAGTATGTATGACGAAACAAAACGCATTAGTAAATAGTCTAGCAGTTGGATGTCATGAATTTGACGAAGTTTTCAATAACCCTCTTACAAATGTTCATTCCAAGTCACATTACATTAACAAACCATGGTGGACCTAATGCGATTTATATTTACTTAATTATGTTTCAGAAGAAATCAAATCATTTGTGTATATTATATTATAACAGAAAGAACGAATGAGATGAGTTAGATAACCAATTTTTGAGGTGAAGGAATTGGGGAAGATTTAATTAACA